TTGGCTTTCGCCTCCACCTCCACCTCCATCAGCACCGCGTCCGGCCTCGTCACATAGCACAGCATGGCTGGGGCCGCTGCTGCCTCCACGGCCGCCTCCTCTTTGGTGTCGCGGAGCTGCAAGGCTCGAACCCAGTACCGGGCTCGACGAGGGTTGGCCTCTCTAGGCTGCAGCCCGGCAGACACCGGCCCTGCACCCCGCGGCCGCTGCTCCGGTCCCCGCCACCCCCTCGCCCGCCCAACCGGCCGCTGGCTGCCCGGTCCTTGGCGGCGCCGCACTCCAGCAGCCCAACTGCCTGCGCCGCGACAGGGACTCCTCAGATATAGCGGCCCCGCCCCCTTCGGCTCGCGCCCCCGCCAATCACGGCATCCCTGCCCCTCCTCCGCCGCCCTAGCAGCCAATAGCAGCGCCCGCTCGGCTGCAGCCCCGCCTCCCGGCGCCGGCTGAGTTCCCTGGGCCGCCTGGGGAGGTGGCAGCTTGTGGGCGCCGAGAGCTGGGGGGGGAGGGAGGCCCCGGAGCACACCCGCTGCCTCTGCCCGCTGGGCGACGCTGCCCGGAGCGAGCTCTCGTCCTGGGCTCCAGGCGGGGACGCCTCCCTCTCGGCGCTTGAATTTAAGATAATTAAACGCTTCCAAGCTGCCACTCTTCTCCAGTAGCGTGGGGTCACTCCAAGAACGCATTTCGGTTGCAGAAGGAGAAAGGAGCAACCCAAAGCCTAAAGAAAACTATTTCCCACCGGGATTATCCACAGTGGATTTTTAGAAGGCAGACTTGTTCTTTGGTTCAGGGCTTCATCATTGAAAAAACAAAATCCGCGTATAAAAGTTTTTGCAGTTGACCAATAAGCCAGGGGTAGCTTAAAGTTTCTTAAATCAACCCTTTCCAAGGGCTTCTATGAACTCCATTTTACGGAATCAAAACACTTTACTGCGCACTAGGCCTTCTCTCTCTCTCAGGTTGCCCATCCTATCTCGTTTCTCATCTCACTCATTCATTAAACATTCACTGAGCTCCTGATACCTTGCATGTCGCTTCTGTTTGACAGCTGGTTGTTATCCCCATCTTCAAGGTAAGGGGCTCATCTCAGGATCCAACAGTGGGGATAACCGCAGTAGTACCTATTAATAATTAAAGGTCCACAACTCATCACTCATTGACCACCCATTTACCTCTTTGCCAACCTTTTACTTTGCCTACCTATTTGCTTTCTTAATCCGTTTAACCAGAAGATGTGGTTTTCAGCCTTGGACCTTGGAAAATTTACTTCATCTCTCTCAAGTTGCTATGTCAACAGTAAAATGGAGGCCAGACATCTACTCTGCCTTCACCGAGCATTTCTGTGAAGCATATCAAAGATAATAAAGCTCCTAAGAACATTGAAATGCCCCCCCCCCACTATATATAAGGAGGACTGTGTCAGTTCTGGCACTGCTGGCTGATGATTTCTGTCCCTTCCCCTTTCCCAAGCATCTCTCTCAGTGGCCTTTATTTCTGACTTCTCTGGAAGGATATCAGAGCAGAGGGCTACAGGGAGGGAACTTACCATAGTCCTTCACTAAAGCCAACTCTGGGGAAAATTGTTTTGTCGAAGCCCTGCCCCACAATGATGCAGAAAGACGTGGACAATGTCACATCTCTCTTCATGTCTTATGAATATGTGTCATAGTTATTGTGCTGCTACACTAGTCCCTGGATGCATCAACTCTTGTTCCTCATTCCCTTAATTCCAGGTCACTAATCTGGGAAATTTATCTGGAAGATAACATTTGGGTCATTGTTATCTAATCTATGCTTAATTCCTAGAAATTTCAGAACAGGGAAAGGGGACAATATGGAACCCAGTTGTATTGGTTAATATTTCTGTTTGGAAAGACAAAAACTAAAGGTAGCTAACAAGCAAAATGGAATTTAGTGCACAGATTATGGGTGCTCATAGAATCAATGGCGATGGGGCGCGGAATTGTGGAGAAAGAGGAAATATTGGTTGGCTAAGGACAAAAATTTAAAAATGAAAAAAAAGCAAATACCAACACCAAATTCTCATGTTATGCAGCAACTGATTTAAAAATAACTTATATTTTTGGTGTTGGCAAGGATTTTTTTTTTACAAGAAGAGTTCACATTTATTTTAAAAAATAAGTAGCTAAAATAGTTTGCAGAAACAGAAAATGTCTAGCAGTTGTTTTAAATTTATTTTTAAAAATTATGTTTTTTTTTTCTTTTTAACAATCATCACTTACAAAACAGTTAGAGGGTTGAGATTGACAGGGATATTTCTAATCCAAACCCATCATGCTCCTATTATGGAATGGTTGGTAAAGATTCCAATTGTTGTGAAATTAAGAATCACCAGGAAAAAAAAAAACTGAAGATAAGAAGAATTTCTTAAAGCAAAATAAAGCTGAAAACAGGAAAAGGAACATTTGGGGAGGGGGAATGAAATCCTCATTTCTAAGAAGATAAAGAATACTGAGTGGGATGTGCATGTCGTCTCAGCTGCTTGGAAGACTGAAGTGGCAGCATGGCTTGAACTCAGAAGTTCTAGGCCAGCCTGAGCCACCCAGCCAGTCCCCCATCTCTTAATGAAAAATAATTATAATATTTGCTTCTATTCGCATATACAGGATATATGAGATGATGATCTCTCTCTCTCTTTCTCCCTTCTCTTTCTGATTTTTCTCTTGTCATTTCTTCCCTGAGTGGAGATTGGGAGAGACTGGTTAGTCAAGGAATGGGAAGGCTGAGCGAGCTGGTGAGGAAGCGCATTCTGTTTAAAAACCTTGGTTAGGGAATAGAAACCCACAGTGGAATTACTTCCTAGAGGATTCCACCATCTGTTAATGTTACAGAACGTCTGGAGCCAGTTTCAAACCCCAGCTGGGTCCAACTTCAAAATAAGAGACTCTGAACATCCGGGGCTAGAGGTGGGAAACACATTGGATTGGGCTGCGATTGCAGCCAGAGAGGTGCTGTGGATTATTGGTGTCTGTTTTCTTTGGCTGTCAGTTAGCTATCATCTTTAAAAGATAGTATGACAAACCAGCTAGCTTAGTAAAAAGGTTGCCTGTATGAATGTCCATTTTTTTAAAATAGAAACTATAATGAAGTGGTAGTGCCCAAGCACCTCGGGATTTTCTCTGTCTCATAGTAGGTCATAAGACTGGGTGCTAGATAATATTTGTAGGTCGCAATACAGAGGTCTTCTGGCTACGGAGTCTTGCAGTTGAGCCCTCGGGCTGCCCTGGATGTCTGGGTATGGATTTCTGCTCATTTAACTCTCCAACGTTGCTTGCACTGCTGTAGAAACCCATTCAGGTCCCAGGAAAGGCCCTTGGGAAGAAGAGCCTTTGTCACCGGCCACACCCTCTTCTTTGCCTCTCCATGTTCATTTTTGTAGGAGGGAAGAACAATTAATGAGTGGCTGGAAAACTGTCCTCTTGCTTTCCACACATTATTCAGGCTAATTATTCACATAAGTAACGCTTCATCAAGCCCAAGTGTGTTAGAATGTGTTGAGTGAGCTGAAATTTCTAATTTGAAATATTAGCCTTGTGAGATTCAGGAGTAGTTTAATTTGATCCTAGTCTACCATCAAAGCAGAACGTCTCATTTCCAAAACTAGATGTTTAAAGGCTAAAAAGAAGAAACAGAGGGAAAATAGGCAATGCCCATATCAAAAACTCTGGGAGATCTAAGATGGCATTGTCTTAATTAGCTAGCTGTTGAGGTGATTTTTTTTCCCTAGTTATATGAGAATAGTTACTATTCGTGGTAGACTAGTTGAAAAAAATCAGAAAAGCACAGAGAAAAATGAAGTACTTGTCATTTTATCAAGCATTTCTATTTGGTATTGATGTTCTACTGTTATACTTTGCATAGGCTGTGCTCTAAATATTGATTACTACATAATCCAAAACTGCACATTAATTTCTGGAAGCATCTTAAGAGAGCGAGAGAAATTTAAGATGTGGAATTGTAAACCTAGTATCATGACTATTAGAAAAATTATGATATGGGGAAAATTATAACTACAAAGAACAACCAACACACACACACACACACACACACACACACACAAAATCTCAACTATTTTCTTCCTTGAAATACTGTTTTCCCATTTGTTTCTTTCTCACTGCTAACATGCCCCGAAAGGCCACATTTTGTGATAGGCTTCCTTCTTTGGCCATGTATCATTTGGTTGATGCTCAAAGAGATGCTCAAAGCTGGGAGATAATTGCCAATGTGGTACGTTTTGTTTAGTGACAATATTTTGAGACCATCTTAGCTGGTTTATGTTCTATAATGGAGTATGTGAGGCTGGGTGGCTTATAAAGTATAGAGATTCATTTGGCTCACAATTCTGGTGGCTGGAGGGTCCCTGCAGGGCTGCCTGGCTGTGTTACAATATTGCAGAGGAAACGGAAGGGGAAGTGGGCATGTGCGGAAGGTGAGCAGAGATGGACAAACTTACTCATTGACGGCCGCTTGGCCTAGGAACTAAAGCAAGTCCCACAAAACCTGCATGAATCCCTTCAGAGGGCAACGCCCAAGACCTCACCACCCTCTGCTAGGCCCTACCTCTTTAGGATCCACCACTGCACCGGGACCAAGTTTCCAGCATTAACTTTTCAGGGACAAACCACACCCAAACCTCCAAAATAGATACATATCTTTTACTTGTGAAAATGATCCATCATTAAGCGTGAGGGTTTTTTTTTTTAATTGCTTATCAAATTTGGTGATAGTATGTGTTGCTCCATCCACAACAGAGCTCACTCATTTTTCTGATTTTGAATGAGGTTAGACTGTTGCTGGGGATGCACTTGGGATCGTGGACTAGACAACAGAATTCCAATCTACTCAAGGCTGGAGCTTAGCTGGCAGCCTCTCCTAAAGATACCCCTCCCACCCTTCTTGCCTGAGCATGCCTCGGCCTGTAATTTGTGGGTGGGTGTGACAGAATTTCCTGGGGCTGGTCATTCCTGGTACAAATAGCCCTGTAGGAAGTCTCAATTTGCAGGAGGAATTACACCTGTTAGAAAGATTACAAAGTACCAAAAGATATGAAATGGGCTTCATAAAAAAAAAAATGCCTAGCTTTAGATCAGCAACACAGAAAACAAGATAACAAAAACTGAGTACTTTGAAATGAGGCAATGGCTGCTTAAACTTCAGTTGCACCACCTCTTATATTTCCCACCTTGGAGGATGTGTTTACTTTATTCAGGAAGGCAATGAATAAAGTAAACATATCCTCTTTTCCCCCCCCAGGG